TTCAAAGATTGCTCATGGCTCCCCATGAGATGGCAAGCAATTGCAATTTGAATCCCTTCACAGGCATTGGTGCAATTACGTGACTCAAGTATGAGTGCTGCGATAATTCTTGCAAAAATTGGAGAGAGGAGCAGAGGGAGGGGGCTGTGCAAATCAGAACGGTGCAAGGAAATTTTAGCAGGGCTTGTCGCGTGCCTGTGTGCCGGCCCTTCACTGTTGCCTGGCTTAGGAGTTCTCTGCAGCGTGGGGAAAGGGGGACGGAGGGTTTAAATATTTTGAAAAACCAATTGTCCCAAATCAGTGATTGATAATACCGATGGCTTCTCCTATCTTAGAGTAATAATCATTGATTATTACTTCCCTATACTTCCCATGAAATTAGCATCTTAAAGTATTACTTAATCCTAAGAGGTAGGTTCTGTTACTAGCCCTTATTTACAAGGAGGAAACTAAGGCACAGAGAGCCATGGAAATGGGGAGTGGTTTCTACCCCAAGCATCCTGCTCCAGGTTCTGATCCTAACCTGTAGGTTGTACAAGCAGTCTGTCTCTCTCCTTCCTGGGGTCATCTACACAGCAACTCCAAATACCTGAACCCTGGCCGCTCCCTGCGAGGGGTTCTTCGGGCAAGTCCTTGTCAACAAAATGTTTCTGCCAGAGCCTGTATTTGGGGGACCCTCAGCCTGGGTGCCCAGCAAGAAGTTACACCTTGTTTTGAATGAAGGCATATGGGACCCAGACCTGAAGAACCGCTCTTTCACACCACAAATAGGACCGGTTGCAATGGGTGTCAGATACTTCATCTAATAAATAGGAGAATTAATTTAGAACTGTGACCATCAACCTTTCTGCTTACATATGACCTAAGAATATTTTGACACTTCCCTCAAAGTTTTTTTTTTTTTTTTTTTTTATTAAAGATTTATTGATTTAGGGCGCCTGGGTAGCTCAGATGGTTAAGCATCTGCCTTCGCCTCAGGTCATGATCCCAGAGTCCTGGGATCGAGTCCCGCATCGGGCTCCCTGCTCCTTGGGAGCCTGCTTCTCCCTCTGCCTCTCTCTCTCTCTCTCTCTGTCTCTCATGAATAAATAAATAAAATCTTAAAAAGAATACTTTATAAAAAAAAGATTTATTTAGAGAGAGAGAGAGCTCGTGCGCACATGCTGGAGGAGGAGCAGAGGGAGAGAATCTCAAGCAGACTCCTCCCTGAGTGTGGAGCCCTACCTGGGGCTTGATCCCATGACCCATGAGATCATGACTTGAGCCAAAACGAAGAGTCAGAGGCTTAACCAACTGGGCCACCCAGGCGCCCCATACTTCCCTCAGTTTTAAATAGCCTGTCTCAAGTTTTTTGTTAGGAGTTTAAACAGTTGTAAAAGATGTAATTTGTCTATTGTATATGTGCTTTAAATTCCTTTCTGTAAAAACCTTGGGGTTTCAGATTTAAATGATTAAATTCTGGGAAACACTTGTGTATGCCTGATTGGCAAAGCCTGTTCTCAGACGAATGAGACTGAGTTTCTGTCAGAAAGTCTGACTTCATGTTTCAGTTCAAATATGCGCATATCCCTGTGACAACCATCTCACTTCGAGAATTGAGAAGTAAACTGGACAGACTGTGAGGTATTTGGACTAATTGCTCAGCTATTTCAAAAAACCAACAGAGGGAAAAACGAATTATGCTTGTTTTATTACCATAATGTCATTTAAACACGATTCCCAGGTAGGTGGGCAGGTAGATAGGGGGAATGCGTGAGGCCTCGCTCTGAGTTTAGTCCTGGATAAAGTGGGCCTTCTCCTTACTCAGTATTTCTTAAGGGGATTCCCTCAAGGATGAGGCTTGTGCACACTGTTCCTTTGCCTGGCACCCTGGAGGTTTTGCCGCTCAAAGCACTGCCCCACGCTGATTTGGCCTGGGTGAGGATGTTGCTTTTTTTCCCCTCAAAGTGGAAGGCCATCCTGGAAGGGGAGGCAGGAGAGGAGAACTTGGAGACCTTAGGAGTGGCCACAGGCAGACCCATTTTAAAAAGAGAGCAGATATGGAACTCATTTCCTCTTGTTTCTAGGTTGGCTTGGTTTGCCTGCAGGAGTGTGTGGACTCCACTTTGAGCACCTTCAAACTGCAGGTTCTCTAGGAGTCTCTTGTAGGTCTCAAACTGTGGGCTTGCTGGATCTCTCCCGTGATTTTTATGGAGCGCCTCCAACATGGCTCTTAGGTCCTCCAAGAACAGTATCTATGTGCAAGTTAAGAGCTGTACATTTGCCTGGAATAAAAATAACTTGGCAACCTCATCTTCCCCAGCAGGGTGGTGGTAGCCCATGAGGGTGACTCTGGACTTTCTGCTGATGGTCTCACGGCCTCTGATGGGGCTTTCCTGGGCCCAGGTCCTTCCCACTTGGGCATCGCCACTGCTTATAGTCCTGGGGGATGGGAGTAATAGAAACACATAAATCGCTGGAATGAATATACACATAAGAGAAACTGCTTTGTGCTTGTGCATGAAGATTGCCCTAAATTTAACAATTTTTTATCTTTTGTCTGAAAGGAATTTGAATGCTGTATAAATATTGTTTGTACCTATTAATTTTCTGATGTTCACTCACTGTGGTTTTCATGGAGTCTGTACAGCTCAGTGGTTGACTGCCATTGAGCCGGTTCTAGTAGATACCAACCAGTTAGTCCGTGTAAAGCACCAAAGGAAAAAAGTACGGTGAATTGAGTGAGTCGTAGGAACCAGTTCATTGGGCTGAAATTGAGAAGCAAAACTGAATGGACTGTGAGGTCTTTGAATTAATTGCTTGGCCATTAGAAAAACCAAAGCAGGGGGGAATATGCATTATGCTTGTTTTTATTTCCATCAGGTCATTTAAACTCAATTTTAGTAAAGTAATCCTGTTATTAAAACATTCTCCAAGATGTCCACTTTTGGTGGGAAGGGGATTGTTTTAGATGCTTGTGTGGAGTAACAAGCTGAGTGTCCAGGCGGCTGGGGGATGCAGGGCTGAAGCCTGAGCACAGGGGCCTCAGCTCCCTTAGGACTCAGAGCTCCTGACGGCAGCCTGCTTCCCTGCCCACGTCACAGTGCTCTCTGCCTGCTTCTCTCCTCCTCCTAAGGTTTTTTCTCCTTTCTCTGCTGCCTCCTTTCTTTGTATGTTCTTTTCACCCTTTGCTTTTCTGCCCTCTCCATGCCCTGTGGTTTGGGAGCATTCTCAAAAAGTCAAACCAACCCTCATATGGAGAAGCAGTGAACCTGTTAGGCACAGAGCACATTGGGTTGTTAAAGAGAAAAGAAAAGGAATGCCCAGAAACCAAGTCCCATGAAGGTGATGTGTTAACTGAGGAGGACCGTAGAGTAAGAGTGTGTGATCTGAGTCTTCATCTGCCTGGTGGCATGCCTGAGTACTAAGCACAGTCCTGACATGTGATACCAAATACACAAGAAGAACAATAGCTAAGCAGACCAGACTTAGCAGCACAGGATAGATTTGGGGTAATATAAATATTTTATTTACCATTATAATAATGTAATTTATTAAGTCAGATGGAAAATATATCTATATTCCACTTTTTAAAATAGATGGCCAGTTTTTAATTTTTTCTATACATAGCTTTTGATCTTTGAGAATATTTTTATACAGTTGTAATCTAACTTGGTATGAATATTATTTTCTGATGTTTTACTTCAGCCTGTATATAAACATGTTCCCTACTCTCATGTACAGAATTGGCAATCATTTTTAATGGTTTTATAATATTCCATTGATAAATAATAGATCACACTTTTCAGCCATTCTTGCGTCGTTACCTACTTGGGTAATTTCCAGCTTTTCCACTATGATCTTAATAATGTTCCAGCGACTATCACCATGCATGACATTTTCAGTATGTAAGTAACCATAAGGTTATGTTAGCTTCCCAAAAGTAGGCTTACTTCTGTGAAAAGATATTCACATTTGATGTTAACTTGCTTCCCAGAATGGTTCCCATGCTGATTTCTGTTGATGGGAGCTTGGACTGGATTCACTGTGTGCAGGAAGGTCCTTGAGCCCTTATATCATAGTGACCCATGGGATCCCACACACCCAAATACAGTGTCCCCAACCGGTTTAGGGAAAGGAGTCAGCCCTGCCTTGTGGCTGAGTTGGTTGAGAGGCAGAGCTCTTTGAATCTCATTGTTTGTAACTAATCATGAGTGTCTGCTCGCAACTCCCCTTCCTCCGCCACAAGGGCTTCAGGGGATTATTTGTTTTCTGGGAAAACACTGAGCGATACTAGCTAAATGCAAACTGCTAAAGGACAGCTATTCGGAAAAACAGAAAGAAAGCTCTAGAACTTTACAAATCCTGAAACTTGTGACAGATGACTGGGAAATGATAAAGGATCATTTAGACCCAGTGACTGTACTCTTGGTTCAAAAGAAATATTGGTTGAAAACGTGAATACCTGTACCTCTGGTCAGCAGATCAGTCCAGAAGTTCTGAGGACATTTTCTCTTTGGTCATCGGGCATGTGATAAGATGACATTTAATGAATGGCATTGATTTGGAAATACCTAAAGCAGAATTTTTAAAAAGACATTTGTTTAGCTTATCATTTGGTATTTTCTACAGATCTTTGATGGATTTAACATTAGTTGTAGCACCATGAGAGGCATGAAGAATCTTCATATTTTCAAATGAAAATAATTTGGACTTTTTGTTAGCAAAGAATTTTAACATACATTTAACAAGGAAATATGAGCGTTTTACTTCAACCCTTTGTCATAAATCCTGCTGCCTAACAGTGTTGGCCTTGAGAAAGCTCTCTAAATGAGAAGTAATCCAAACAAAGTGGTTAGTAAATCTCTTTAAGTTAGGATAATCACTAACGGTATTAGCATTTCCAAGCCTGATTTTCTTGCAAAAATTAAGATAGTTTGCTAAATGTTATTCATTTACTGACTTGTACTCATCTCTGTCCTTCCACCCTCTTCCCCACCTTAAACTTCTGCACTGCTTAGATACAACAGCCTTGGCAACACCTCTTATCACTTAAGACCTTCTGGATCTGCTGTGCCCGCCACCCCCACGCCATCTCTCTCACCCCCACAGGAGGCCAGGCTGGAAAGGTAAGTTTTATAAGAAGCATGCTGAGCGCTTCACTGTCCTCCAGGGAAGGAAATCAGTTTAAGAGTGACTAAAGGAAAAGTATAAATAAAAAGCATAATCTGAGGTATTTTCCTTTACATTATGTAGTCCAGACGCAAGAATATCTTCTCTTTGATACTATCTACAAAGTAAATATTATATTAGAGGTAATATTTGTTACTATTGTCTCATCTCCTTATAAACTTTCCATAGAAAGTATAAAAATTTGTTCCCAAATACATAAATGTGAATGCTTTGATTGACCTATGAAAAACCAGTCTAGATTTTGTGTAAGGTCTGCATTTTGTCCTATAAACATCAGTTTTTACCTTTGAATGATTAATTCCATATAAATCAGGGGGTAGCGGGCCCATTAAGGTCAATACCCTAATGTAATTAATCCAGGACCTACCAGAAGAGAAAAGAATTGCACGGGTCCATGGAAGGAATGTAACTTGGCAAGAGTATTAGACCACTAGAAATTAACTAATTATTACTTCTGGAAACCAGTGATTGCACAAGGATGTGTTTACAAGGAAAAGGTAAGACCTGTAATTTTAGAACAATTAAAAACAGTTACCCTTATATGGCAAGAGTGCTGAGTTAGAGAAGACTGGCCAGGTTTCCAACATAATCACTGGGAAGTTATTTAATCCCTGAAGGTGAAATACCACTTATGCCAACTCTTACCTTAGAGGGTGGTTTTGATGAGCCAATGAAAAGGTACCCATGAAAGCACTGTGTGAACCCCACCATGTGGGTCCAGTGCGAAGTGACAATATGTCATAAGATAGAACATCCAGTGGCTCATGATCTATCAGAAATCTAGACCGGAGCAATTCACAGAGATCATTTGCCTCAAATCACGAATGTAAAACAAACTCAACCTGTATTCCATACTTTGATCATCTTCTGCATATTCTGAAGTGTGTTTTGTCGAGCATGGCTGGTGATTCGAGGTTTGGCTGAGATGGAGAGCAGGCGAGACCTTACAGCCCCAGGAAGAGGGGCTGTCCAATAAGCTTTATCTCACCACCCATCACATTAATCTCCAAGGGGCATATAAGCTCCATGTTATCAAAATCTCAGGTTCCACAGCCCAGCATGGCTCTGGGCTGGGCATATTTGGGTGTAGTTAGGTTTTGGCAGTAAGATAGTAAGTTGATTTCCTTGAAGACTCTGTCCTTCACCCTAGGGTACCTCTTCTTGGGATCAGCTGAGATCACTTCTGGTCCCACAGAGGTCACCAGTGAAGAGGATCCTTGTCTTAAGGGATGTGAGATCTGGGGGCCAAAGTAAGGAATATTAGAGTCTTACTGATATTACATCTCACATCTTGTACCTGCTAGGTGGACAGCAACTTGGGGACAAGAAGCAGGTCCCATTCATTGCTGTGTGCCCCATAGTACCCGAGGCCTGGCTTTGGCAGCACTGGCAGTAAACACTAGTTGAAGGATCAGGTGAATTACCCACTTATTGGTTATTACCCACACCCACAGTGTGGAGGTCCCTGAAGGTGACAAGTTATAAGGATGGGAAGTGTGCTGGTTTCCAAAGCCCTGGGCTTTGTGGGAAATTGCCCCTAGGTCCTAAAGAGGAAGCCCCAGCCTCTGCCTCCTTCTCATCCGCTGGAAGCCCAGTTCCAGGTTTGAGCTGTGGAGCCCTCTGGAAAGACTCCTGCTCTTGTCTCCTTCCCTGCTCCATCTGGCTGAGTGTCTCTTGGGGCCCGGGGTGGGGTGGGGATGAAGATTAAAAGAGGAAGGGTGGGGCTGGATCTTAGGGTGTCTGGGGAGGAGGCTAGTCTTCATCCTGAGACCTGAGGAGCTGTTAGGCTTTTGAAGCAGCTGGTGAAGTGCTCTAACACATCCATAAATGGAGTCAGTGGGTTGAGGCCACAGGGACAGGGGCTGCCAGAAGCTGCATCTGAGTCCGAGAGAGTTGACCATGCCCAGGAAGGGCAGTGGCCGTGGGGCTTGAGAGGAGCAATGGGTTTGGGCAGACTTGGAGGAGGGTGGGAGCAGGCGTAGCAGAATGAGTGAGGGTTCAGGCTTGCTCGAACATGAGGGTGTTAGAAACTAGGAACTGAGACAGAAGTTACTGGAAGAGAAGCAAATTGAAGGTGGAGATGTTCAGCCTGGGGCATGCAAGGCACGAGGAGTCTGTGTGACACCCAGAGAGATGCTGGGGGGCCCCAGGGAGGTGGACTCAGTGGTCCTTGGCTTGAAGAAGGTACTGGCATGAAATCCCTCCAGGCAGCCTGCTGAGACCTGGTGACCAGAGAAACCAGTAATGGAGGCCTTTCCTCTCCCAAGTGGTCTTTTCTCTCTTACAGCGTTCTCTGCCACAGAAAGTTCTTTACCTGCACCATCTACTCTATCCACTAGCAAGTAAAGCTTCAGAGGGTTTATTACTTCCTTTACATTTGCATGGTTTTTTTTTTTTTTTTCAACTATCACTGTCTATGGCTTTGCAAAACCATATGATGAATCATTTGAAACATCAGATGTGCTGTTTCATTAAGACCAGCAAGGCCCCAGGCCTGGCTGTGCCACCACGTTTTACTCTTACTTTGCTGGCTTATATCGGTGACTGTAAAAAAAAGAAAAATAAGGAGGGCCCCCACTCCAATTCATATTTGTATACCATCACCCAAATGTACAATGTCAGTTGTATGTATTATATAGTTTAATGCAGCTTAATTTTTTTCTTTTTCATTTTTGACTGCTGGATTATTTGGATGTCACTCATAATCTGTGTTCACATTTATGACCATTTCCTGCCCTATTAAGGTATATGATTGTTTTTACTGAGGTAGATACTTTAGTAGAATTTGTAAGGTTATTGAGATGTTTTATATACCCATAATTATTGAAACCAAAGCGAAAAACTCAGGAAAAATGTTGAAGTATTATGAACAATAGTTGGATTTTTGCAGTGAGAAACCACATCTTCTGTTGACACACTCCTGACGAATAAACAGCTTGTCAGGGTCCTGTGCAGTACTGGAAAGATCTAGAACTCTATTCCCTTGATTTGGAAATAAGACTCCTTTCCCTGAAGTCCTAGGAGAATCAGGCCAACTAAAACACCCCTTCAGGCAGGTCGGGCCACTTAGAACAGGCCCAAATACCACCAGGCATCATTGTGAGCTTAGAGTTTTCCATATTTTTCCCAAGCATATTAGTATATTGGACATTAATCAAATTTGGAATGATAAATTGACCTAGAAAGGAAGAACTGAAGAAACAATATACAGAGTTAAGTCAAGGCAAGGGTATTAAAATGAATCCATCTCCACATCTCCTATTATAGCTTCATTTATAGGACTCTCTTTCAGAAACAGTGTAACATTAATTTACATGAAATTGGAAGTTGAGTTGTGCCAAAACAAAAGAAAATAAGAAAACCAGAACTATTTGCGAAGGCCCTCAGGGATGGATACAAGATGCAACTGTTTAAGGAAAGCAGACTTTCTAAATGCTTCAATTTTGAAAATGTGCTTTTTGAATGGAAACGTTCTAAATATTTTTAGAAGAAAAAATTGCAAGAATATTTGAACCATTCATGTTGAGTATTCAAATGAGACAAACAAGCAAACAATAATTACGCCACAGCAAATGTGTCTGGGAAGGTGGGAAGGGCAGAGCGCATTCTCTTTCCATCCCTGCAGTGACATCTCCATCTTGTGGGCCTTTTCAGAAATGGCGGCCAGGCGCTTGTTTGGTGTGGTGACTGCAGTTACTGGGTGATTGTGAGGGGGTCGGAAGTCTAGTGCCTGTGGCTGAAGGTACTTTGAGGCCATCAGTCTTGGCACTGGGCCTGGGGAGTACGCTGATAATGAGGCCCAGCTTATACCACGAAAGGAGGCATTAGGTGAACACACTGAGTGCTCAGTGGGAGCACACTGGAAGAACCCCAGGCCTAGATTTCAGGGGATCAGGGAGGACTTCTTTGAACCCCCATTGAGCTGAAACCTGAAGGATCAGTATGTGCCTTAAGCAATGATTGTGTTCTCTCTTCCAGTTACAACAGTACCATTGGTTACTAGAAATGACAATCACCTGCCTGTTTTGTAGATTCCTATCAAGAGCCTTTAGAAAAGTTTGGGAATTGTCTGCCCCGTATAGTTGTCCCAGCAGAGTTTTTCCTAATTCCTGGATGACAGTAAACCCACATATAAGTAATAGCACCTCCATTAAGAGTAATAATGGATAATAAGGGATGAGTAAAGGATGCAACTTTAAATTTTAGTTTTATATGGGCTTTACATGTACACCACATAGCATTAAAAGGTGTGAAGGGCTGTTCAGTGAAAGTGAAGCCCTCTCCCCAGAAGCGGCTACTCCTGGCAGTTTCTTAGCTATGCTTCCAGAGATGAGCTCGCTTCGGCAGCACATATGCTTTGCTTCCAGAGATATTTGATATTCACAGAAGCGTAGACATGTTTAATAATCTTTACACAAATAGTAATACACTGTACAAACTGTTCTGCATTCTGCTTTTTCACTTTAAAAATGTACCACAGTACTTATAATTGTTGCATTCTTTTTAATGACTGCATCCTACTTTTCTGTATTCATATATCCAATTCCATATTGCTGGGCCCCAGTGTTTTGCTGTGACCAGTGACACTGCAGTATAATTTGTACCCAAGTGTCATGTTGCATATGTGTGGTTATCCATAGGGTAAGTTCCTAGAAATAGATTTGGTAAGTCGGTTGTTGATGCATTTTAAATTTTATCAAATTGCTCTTCATGAAGATTGTACCTGTTTTGATTGTCAACCATAGTGTGTGACAGAGCTTGTTTGCCCGTCCCCCTGCAAAAGGACCATTCAACTTCTCAACCTTTGCTTACCTGGTAGTGAAGAGTTATATGTCAGTAAAAATTTAAATTTGTGCTTCTCTTACCATGAGTGTGATTGAGTGTGTTTTCATATGTCCACAAGCCTTTAATATTTCCTTTTCTGGGAATGTTTGGT